AAAAAGGAAGGAAGGAATGAAGCAGGGAAGGAAGGAAAGAAGGAAGGAAAAAAGGAAGGAAGGGAGGGAGGCTGGATATTACATTTGATATCAGGAAGAAGTGCTTAAGAATTGAGAGCTATCCGAAGGTAGGAATGGGCTGTATTGGAAAGGCCTGAGATCCCTCTCATTTCTAATGTCTGGTCCCCAACATTTGATGGAGCACGGTCTTGGAGTCAGGGAGATCTGAATTCAAATCCAGCCTCAGGAAGAAGTTTATTAGTTGTATGGCCTTAGGCAAGTCATTTCTAGCTCCTTCTAGCTTCAGTTTCCTCATCTGTAAAATGAGGATGCTACACTCGGTGACTCCTCGGGTCCATTCCAGCTCTCAATCTAGGATGCACCTGGACTGGTCTTTGCTGCTTCTGCCCAAGCCTCCTGCTATAGACACTTTCTGGAATAGAAATCTGATTCAGTCCCTGCCTGCCATTTTTGGCCAAATGGCTCCCCTCCCTTTCTTCCTGTCTCCAAGAGGGGCAGAAATTGAAATAGCAAAAAGAACGCATTTCAGGATTAATATTGGGTTGGGGTCAAGCTGCAGAGACCCGTCTTCTCCACCCAGCACGAATCTGCTTTTCTGACGGCTTCTGTTGCCCGTGACCCAGGGTACCTTCACACATGCTCCCCAACGTGTAGGCTTTCATCCGATTATGGGAAGAACGGCAACATTGATACCGGAAAACGGATTATTCTGGGGCTGCAGGGAGAATGTGAAGTTTGCCCAGAGTCTAATCAGCTGCAAGCTGGGCCTTATAAATCCTGTGTCAACGTGCCGGCTTAAACAGTTTTTGCCAGAATTGATTTTCTGACCTTTGTGTTCAGAAGCTGCTGGTGCTGGCTCTGGCTACGCAGATGAAAAGAATTGGAGATGGTGTTCCTTGCAGCTGGGCTCTTCCCACGAGGGAGAGATGTTTAGAATCCTGTTTAGTGAGATTTGAAGGCTGCATTTCTCTCAGGCCTGCACATCAAGCCAGCATCCTTGCTTGAGCCCCAGGAGGGAAAGGCTCCTGTGAGCATCCCCTGTTTGGGGACCCCTAGGCAGGGAGCACCAGTAGCAAGAGGACCTGAGCAGCCATCAGTGTTCCTGCACCTCACCCAGACCCATTCGTTGTGATGGGCTTTTATCACTGAGCTGTGGTTGGTGGGGATGAGGAGGTCTCTGCAGCCCTGGCCAGTGTCTATTATGCCCCCCGGGACCCTTAGTCCAGTTTCCTGAAAGGGTCCCCCACAAAAAGAACTACAGAGCTGATAGTCAAAGGGTCTGAGTTTGACTCAGGGCTGATTCAGTTAGGGCCACCCCCTAAACGTGGGCTGTGGGGGAGGGTGTGGCAACCCGCACGTAGCTCCCCTACTTGTCTGTCTGCCACAGACCCTAGGTTTTTACCATTAGCCCTTCTTTTGGGTCATTTTAGCATAGACCCGTAGCAGGAGGGATTGTAGAGGTCATTCAGTCCAAGCTCCTCATTTGATGCATGAGGAAACTGAGGCCCAGAGAGCTAAAGGGACTGGTTTAATGTTATACAGATTGTTAGTGGAAGAGCCATGATTTGAAAAAGGGTCTGAGGCTTCAAGTTTAAAAGTTTTTCCAGGCACCGTGTTGCAAGCAGGGCCAACAGTTCAGGAAGAAAGAAAGGAAGGGAGGGAGGGAGGAAGGAAAGAAAGAAGGAAGGAAGGAATGGAGAGAGGAAGGGAGAAAGGAAGAAAGGGAGGGATGGAGGGAGGAAGGAAAAGAGAAAGGGAGGGAGGAAGGAAAGAAGGAAGGGAGGGAGGAAAAGAGAGATAGAAGGATGAAGGAAGAAAGGAAAGGAGGAAGAAAAGAAGGAAAGAAGAAAGGAAGAGAGGGAGGGAGGAAAGGAGGGAGGGAGGAAAAGAGAGAGGGAGGGATGAAAGAAGGAGGTGAGAGAAGGGAGGGAGGGAGGGAGTGAGGAAGGAAGGAAGAGAGGAAAGAAGGAAGGAAGGAAGATATTTAGAAATGAAGGTGCTGTGAAAATGAGAGATAACAATAAAATTTTTAAAAATACAGTATTAAACATGTACTCTGCCCACGGCATCATGCTAAGCTCCAGAGATACAAAAATAAAAGCCACAGCATTCCTTCCCACAAGGAGTTTATGTTCTAAGAGCAGCAGCTTGAGAGGGTCCTGCCTAAGGTTCTTTGCCTAGTTATGTCTCCTTTTCTCTGCTAATTCAGTCTCTTCCCTACCTCTGGGAGGACTCTCACAGCAGCCTCCTAATTGATCTCCCTGCCTCAAATCTAGCCTTTGTCTGATCTATTTTCTGTTTGGCCCCAAACTGTGTCTCCTAAAACGGATCTGATCATGTCACTCCTATACTCAAACATCTTCAGTAACTCCCTGTTGTCTCTAGGATAAAAAACAAAATCCTCAGCCTGGCCTTTAAAGCCCTTCATACCTCTTTCTTCTTTTTCTATTCACCTGTTTTCTCTAGCTTTTCAGACTAGGTGGACCAATACAGGGGTGGGGAGATTTTTCCTTCTTCCATTCCCTGCATCCCTACCCACACCCCCCAAAATGAACAGAAAGTCCTTGCAGCACAAACAATTTATACTAGCCAGAGGAGCCTGAGATTACAATCTTGGAACTCTTCGGTGGTCCCCTGTTAACCCAAGGATCAAATTCAAAATCCTCTGTTTAACATTCAAAGCTCTTCACCACCTGGCTCCAACTCACTTTTCTTGCCTTATTAACACATTATTCCCCTTGATGCACTCTGCTATCCAGTCAAAGTGGCCTTCTTACTGTTCTTCACACATGAAACCCCATCTCCATTCCTGTGCCTTTGCATAGGCTGTGCCCCATGCCTGGAATGCCTTCCCTTCTCATTTCTACCTCTTAGAATCTCTATTTTCTCTGAAGCTCAGCTCGAATGCTTTCTGTATGAGGTGTCCTAATCCCCCAGTTGCTAGTAACTACTTCCCAAAATTACCTCATATTGATTTTGTGTGTCTTTACATATGTATGCACACATACATACAGAGCACATACTTCTTTTGTATATATTGAACCTTTGAACTTCCTTTTTCCTCTGCCTGGATACTCTGTCTCCTCAGATCCATCTCTTGGAATGTCTGGTTTCCTTCAACGCTCAGCTCAAATGCCACCTTTTACGGAAGGCCTTTTTGTTTCCTATGGAAGTTAGTGCCTTCTCCTGCAAAGATACCTTTTATCTCTTTTGTATGTGTCTTACGTGTGGTACTACTATTGCTGCTGCTACCACTACTACTACCACTACTACTCTTACTGTTACTACCACCACTACTACTGGTACTACTACTACTATTACCACCACTACTCCTATTCCTACTACCACTACTACTGATACTACTACTACTACTACTACTATTACCAGCACTCCTACTGGTACTACTACTACTATTACCACCACTTCTACTGGAACTACTACTACCACTAGTACTACTAGCTAACATTTCCATAACACCTACTATGAACCAGGCACCGTGCTAAGCACTTTACAATCATTATCTCTTTTGATCCTTGCAACAACTCCGGGAGGTAGGTGCTATTCTTATCCCCATTTTACAGTTGAGGAAACTGAGGCAGACAGAGCAAAGTGACTTGCCCAGGGTCACACAGCTAGTAAGTGTCTGCGACTGTATTTTGAACTTGGGTCTTCCTGACTCTAGGCGTGGCACTTAGCTAAATGTACCACCTAGCTAAATGTGTGTATATGTACACACACACACATCCCTCTATCTATATTTAAATGTATGTTGTCTCCCGCTGCAGGACATAAGCTTCTTGAGAGCAGCAACAGTTTCATTTTATATTTATTTATACAGTTTCATTCTATACTTATGCTACATGTGCATGCAGCAGGTGATTAATAAGTGCTTATTAGTTGGTTAGTTGATTGATACGGAAAAATAAGGTTCTACTTACTCTCATTGATTGTCCTTGAGGAAAAACCTATGTGGAGGGAGAAAGAAGACATGATTAGAATTCACCTCATGGAAAGAGAGCCCTGGAGCTAAGGGGAAGAACAGAAGAAGTTTAGAGGGAAACAATACTATTTTGTACCCCCAGGCAGTCTAAACATAGTTCTCCTCATTAGGGGATTTCACAAAAGGTGATTTTAAAAAAAGGTCAAATGTTGCTGAATCTTCCATCAGGCCAACCCCAACCACCCCAGTCAACCTTGAGCTCGTCTCCTGAACCCCAAACAGGGCTTCATGTTAGCACTGTACACTTGGTATCTCTTTGTGGTGGTCAGTCCTGACATGTTCTCTAATTGTGATACACCTCCCCACCTCATTTCCACACACAATAAATATCCTAATTTCCCTGAGGTCAGAAAGTCAGATACGGTTTCTGGGAGTCCTACCTTAAACAGAAACCCCTTCATTCTCTCCCCTTCACCTGAAACTCTGTGACAAAATGGGGTTCCAGATAAATTCAGAGGTAAAATATTGATGTTGGATTGAATTAATATCATAGTGATGGGACTAATTTCAAATTGATGATGGTTCCATCATTGACCATGAGATATGTTTCACATTTGCTTGAGGGAGGAGGTGGTGACTGAATGAGTTTGGGTGCCATGTGGGTGGTGGACTATGGCTGAACAGCTAATGGTGGCCACTCCTAATTGGCTGAGGTTTGGAATGGATTTTTAAAGAACCAATTCAGAGGGGGGAGTAGTTTAGAAGATGGGAAAAAGGAGAGATATCAATAAAAATGTATTTTAAAAAATCAGAGAACTGATGATCTGAGCCAATGTACCCAAAGTCCAATAGACAGAGATTTAAATTTCTCAGTGGTGTAGTGATTGGGGGTGAGGAGAACAGGGGGCTCTCTCCTCAAGGAGGCATGTAAGCTTGATCTACAGCCTGAAAAATCAAGGGGCTTCAGAAGGGTCTTGAAGTATCATTCCATGTTTCCTTCCTTTTGTGGACTCATCCTATCATTCCCAGGACCAGAAGGGCCTCCCTGGAGTCATTTTCCTCTTTATGGACCTCATCATTGGCCAAGAACTCTACTTCACCCTCAATACCAATGTGCAACATTCAGTAGAGAAGTGGGGCCTATAGGAAACACCTATTCAAATGAATAACAACCTTTGCTTATCATCTAAACAATATGTTATTGGACACACGTGGCAAGGAAAAGATGAGTTAAATAACTTCCAAATAACTCAGCTATGGGGTAGTGTTTGGGAAGGAGGTCCATTTTTTTTTTCCCTCACCAGCTAAGCAATGAAATGGCTTAAATCATCTAGCACTTGTTAAAGGAGAGTTATATATTTACTAGGGGATGGGTTTCAGGGTTCTGGAATGGAGTTGAAATTCATCTGGGGCAGATGGGAGTGATATTTTGGGTTTGCTGGGTCACTGGCAGTGTATCAGATACAGCGTGAGGGAAGCAGTCATGGCAGAATACGGTGAGAATGCTAGTTGCAAAGGGAAAGAGATTGGTTGGTCACGTAGAGAGATTCATGTGGGCCCATAAGGGACTCATCAGAGGATTGGAAGATGGTCATCTCCCTAAGAGGAGTTTCCTGGAGATAAGACCTTGGGAGGAATGCTGGGAAAGGTATCTGCACAGGCAGACACTCTGAGGCAAAGTCCCAAAGCCTTTCTTACCGCTCTGTCTTAGACTGGTTTCCTCCTTTCTTCCATTTTCTTTCTCCCTCATTTTTTCCTTCTCTCATATTTTCTCTCCCTTTCCCTCTTTCCTTTCACTTACTAAAAGATAAACATCCCCTAAATCCACAGCATTTCTCCAAACCTTTCTCCATTTCCTCTTAGCTAACTTTCCTCCTGGGTTCATTACAGTGTGTGCAGAATTCTGCCTTTGGGAGGAAGAAAAGAGTTGGACTCATTAAGAAGGGAGATGGGGACTGCAGCCTTGGTGCTGACGGACAGCGGCAGCCCAAGAAATCTATGCAGGGGCCTGGGTCAGACATGCCAGTGATGGAGTAGAGCCTTGACTGGGGCAGCAACAGCCACTCTACCAACTGATAACTCTTAGATTTTCAGCCCCAGCCCAGAGGTATCCCTGCTAATAAGATGGTGAAGAAGTAACTTACCCAGGAAGCCTTGAATACTGATGGTCTTGCCAGTTCTGTTGAAATAGGTGTGGGTAAAGAACCACGTGGCCATCAGGGTAAAAATGACGGTCATGATGCGGAGTAAGGCTGAGAAAGGGGACAGAGAACAGGTGACATTGGATCAGAGTGAGAAGAGTAGCTATCCCAGAATACTTGTGTGACCTTGGGCAAGTCACCCCTCTTCCCTGGGCCTCGATTTCCTCATCTGTACAATGATGAACTTGGACTTAATGACCTCTGAAGTCTCCTCTTGCTCTGGAGCTGTGACCCCATGACCTGTGATCAGCAACACTGTGAAGAGGACTTCTGGGGAGAGGGACCCTCTTTTTCTCCTTTGGCATTCTCTCTTTTGACTTTCAAAGTCCTGCTACTCTTGAGACCCATCGCTCTTGAACTGCCATAGGTTGCCCATGGCTCCCCAAAGTAGGGACCCTCCTGGGCCTTCCTCTGTCATCTCCAACCTTATCCCATGATTCAGTATTTTCCCTTCTAAGCCAATGGTACGATCAAAACCTACTTATTCTGAATCTCATTCTCTAAGGGTCTTGATAGCTCACTGGATGAATGGAGAAACTAATTGATGTTAAGATGCTAATGGCTTACTCAATGCCCACATTTATTAGCACTTTAATGACAATGAAAAATATTTTTTTTCAATTAGCAAGCATTTATTTTCTCTCTCTCCTCCAAATTGGGGGTGGGGTAGGGTGACAAAAACAAAACCTTTGTACCAAATATGCATAGTCAAGCAAATTCTTATATTGGCCACATTAAAAAAAATGTATGTCTCATTCTGAAGATTTAGTCCATCACCTCTCTGTCAGGAGATGGATAATATTCTTCATCACCAGTTCTCTGGAATTGTGGCTGATCATTATTTAATGCCTTAATCTTAATGAGTCAGACACATGGGAATTTTAGGGAGAAGTTTCTGGAGAATCTGTGACTCAACTTCCCTCTTAAGTGTGGAAGACAACTTTTTCTTTTGGCTTCCCCCATTGCAAGAACATTAATGTTGACATGATTCAGGTCTCTGTGGGTCGTTGAACCCAGCCCTCCCATTCAGAGCACCTATAAGTAGGCAGATAGACTTAGACTGTCCTATAAGCATGTATAGTGAGCTCTAAGCACACTGGGGACTGACTGGGCAACAATCATTGCTGTCTTGGCTCTTTTAACTTGCCTGTCCTGAAGCAATTGCTTTAGATTAGGAAATGGGATGAGTGTGTCCAGGAGTCCTGGTGGTGACTTTTTCACTCATGCCTCAAGCATTGATTAAATTACTACTCCAGTATATGCCAGGCACTATGCTAGGGTGGAGTGATACCAAGACAAAAAGAAATAGCTCCTGCCCTCAAGGAGATTATATTCTGTTGGAGGGGGCAATATGTATAAGTACAAAATATATGCAAAGTGATATACAAAGTACCTGTATCCCTAGTGCCTGGCACATAGTAGGCTCTTAATAAATTGCTAAGTGACTGAATAATTGATAGAGAACCTTTGAAAAGGCGGAGAGGTGGGAGATGGAACCGCATGTATGGGGAGGGAAACAACAGGTGGGTGAGTTTGGCTGGAATGGAGAACACCTGAAGGAGAGTAACAGTGCCTGGCATATAGCAGGTGCTTCAAAAATTTTTATTGATTGATTCCTTGATTGATAATGTATAAAAAGCCTGCAAAGGCAGGTTACCTTGTGACAGGATGGAAAGGCAAAAAACAGTTTGAGTTAAACTGATGTCAGGAGTAGTCGATCTGCCAAGAACAACCAGGCTGCCTTTGCAAGGAGACAGAGGCTGGCTCTGCCTGGAGCAGTTTGGAGTGAATGTCTGCTGGATTTGGCCCAATGGGTCTTGTTGGAGAGTGGCTGGGGAGGGCTCCTACAGAATATGATACTCCAGGAAGTCAATGGTCATAGAGGAAGGGCCCTGAATAACTGTCACTCTCCCTGGACCCATCCATAAGGGCATTGGGGGTAGGAGGGCTGGGGCAGGGAGAACAGGTGGGAAATGAACCCAGGGTATTCAGGGGGAAGCCAGAGGCCCTTCCCACCCTGATAGAGAGCTGTCAGAAACTGAACCAACCCATAGAGGAGGGAAAGGAAGACAGTGCTCATCCTGTGGTAGCCCAGCTAGGAACAAGGGGCAGGCAGGCAGAAGTTGCAACCAATCAAACAAATAACAAATCACAAATATGTATTAAGCACTGACTATGTGCAAGGTACTGTTCTAAACACTAGGGACACAAAGAGAAAGAAAGAAAAAGAAAGAAAGAAAGAAAGAAAGAAGGAAAGAAGGAAAGAAAGAGAAATAGAAAAAGAAAGAAAGAAAGAAAGAAAAAGAAAGAAAGAAAGGAAGAAAGGAAGGAAGGAAAGAAAGAAAAAGAAAGAAAGGAAGAAAGAAATAAAGGAAGGAAGGAAAGAAAAGTCTTGCCTTCAGAGAGCTTATCTTCTTCTGGGGGGGCATACAAGTATATGCAAAGCCATTCAAAATGAGTACTAGGTAGGGTACTCATCCCAGGTAGGGTAATCATTTGGGAGAGGGCATAACAACAGTTGGCAGGACCATGGTAAGACCTTATGTAGGAGGGGGTACTTAAACTGAGTCTCGAAGGAGTCCAGGGATTCTGAGAGGCAGAGATGAGAAGGAAGGGCATTTCAGGCATGGCAAAGACATACAGATGGAAGATGGAGCATCCTGTGTGCAGAATACAAGTTGGGGAAGGGTAATGTGAAAGGAGACCAGAAAGGTAGAGAAAAGCCATGAACAAAGCCTCAATAGCTCTGAAGTGTGCCCCCAATTGTCTCCTGTGTTTGGCTGCTTAGAATGAGTTCATAAAACCTGGGGGAAGGTGGGCCTCTCCAGCAGAAGTCTGGAAGCATCCTCTAATTGTAAAACTTGTGCAGGACTTGCATAGTTTCTAGGAAGGGGAGAGCTGGAGAGAGCTGGGACCCTGGAGTGGGTCTACAGGGGTGGCTGCCCTGGAGAATTATTCCCATTGTGTCTGTGGGGGTGTTTCCCCTGTGCTGTTAATGTTGTGAGGGAGGGAGAGAAGAGAGAGGGTCTGGACTGATAAGCTCCCCAAGGTCTTGTGTATCAAGAGCCTCATATGAGTCACCAGTTCATCAGAGACTGCATTCTTGATACCACCTTCTTGTTTTATGTTCCCTGCCTTCTAGATGGCACAGTGAAAAGATCATGGGGGCCTGGGGTCAGAAAGATCTGAGTTTAAAAGATGCTGGACAAGTCACATAACCTTAGTTTGCCTCAACTGACTCTTCCATAAAATGGAGACAATAATAGCACCCACCTCCCAGGGTTGTTGTGAGGATGAAATGAGATATTTGTAAAGAACTTAGCAAATTGTCCAGCACATAGTAGGTGCTTAATAAATGCTTTCTTTTTTCCCCTTCCTTCCTTCCCTTAGGGTGTTTTTTTCAAAAGTCAAGTGTTAGTATTGGCAATTTTGGCTAAAATGAGCCCTAATCAGGTTCCCACCTTTTCCTCAACTAGCAGCCTACAAAGGACACTCACACCTGAGGGTTGAGGCTGGTGATCTGACCTAGTTGCTCACTGTCATTTCACCAGGCAAGTTATGATTTGTGAGAGTTGGGGACTCCTTCAGACAACTGCCTTCAGCTCCTGGTGAACCAGAGATCTCTCCACCCACAAGGTTGGGTGGCCTCCTAGTTCTGTCCATTCAGATGCATCATGGGAGCTCCTACAGAACCTTGCCATTCAGTTTTGTATCCCAAGAAAACTCATGCCTCTGCATTTTTCTGGGACCTTGAGTTTTGGATCTTGTTTGCTTGGGTCTCCCTACGGGCAGTTAAAAGGAGCTGGGGCTTATTTTGTCAGATTAGGGGAGGCAGCTGTGGCTAAGGAATGGCCCCAGACTCCTTTGGTTTGAACAATAATAATAACAAAAATCAGCCACAAGGCAGTGCTGGACCCAGCTTGTGATGGCTCTTAAGAACTGATGGTTAAATTTTCAATATTTACACCTTAAACAAAGGGCAAATGCTGCAGGTCAGGGCTTGGGTTACTGTTCTATTGATTGTATAGAGTGAAGAAAATGATGGAAAGGGGGTTAATAATACAGATTAAACTTAAAAGTGCATCATATGTACATCCCCCCCACACACACCAAAGAGCCAGTTGTTAAACATTTACCAGTAGCAACTGTACGACTTCAGCTTATTTAATTAGTAAGATTCTGAACTTACCTGATGGCCTCATCCTGTCCAGGGAGAAGATACTTTGGTCTGAGTGAGATCAGTGCTGGCCTATGGAAACAAAAGCAGAATGAAAATGTGAAATAAGTCTCTGAAAACAACAACAAAAACCAAAACCAGAACCGTCTAAATGAAAAGAATCCATTTCTAGTCATAGGATCCTAGGCTCATAGATTTAGAACAAGAAAGGACCTTAGAGGGCAAGTCCAAACCCCTCATTTTACAGGTGAGGAAACTAAGGCAAAGGGAGGTAAATCACTGGGCATACATAGCTACTGTCTGAGGTTCTGAGGGAGGATTTCACTTACTCCATCAAATATGACTCAGTAATATATTTTTTTCCCCTCTAGAGACTCTCCCTTCTTTCCTCCACTTCCTCCACCATCTTCCTCTCCAATGTCTATCTTGATTTAACAATTGTTTGCAAGACACCCAGGCACCTTGCAATTCAGCCCTGAGGCTCAAAGGGAAAATGTAGCCTAGCCCCTGGCTATGACCTAGTTGAACAGGCAAGACTTTTACATGAGGAACAGATAGACAACAGACAGGTACATTTCTGAATAGGTGTGGAAGTGAGTGAAAACAGGACACACATGGGATCCATCAGATTTCTTGGGAGAGAGAAAGAAAAAGGTGGAACACTCACTGAATTTGTACCTCTGAGTTAAAAAAACTCAATGTCTTCTAATGAGTCATTTTCTTTAAAAGATTTTAAAAGAAGGAGGGAGAGAGAAAAAGGATAATATGAAAGGTGAGGGAGGGCAAGGAAGAGGATGTGCTCCAAGGGTTCTTTTTTTAAAAAGAATATTATGGGTTTATTTATTACTATTGTTTTCTTGCTTAGTTCTGTCTGACCCTTCATGACCCCATTTGGGGTTTTCTTGGCAGAGATACTGGAGTGGTTGGCCATTTCCTTCTCCAGCTCATTTTACAGATGAGGAAACTAAGGCAAACAGGGTTAAGTGACTTTCCCAGGGTCACACAGCTAGTAAGTGTCTGAGGCCAGATTTGAACTCAGATCCTCCTGGGTCAGCATCCTATCCACTGAACCACCTAGGTGCCTATGCTCCAGGAGCTCTTAACCTTTTTCACATCATGGACTCTTTGGGCAATCTGATGAACCCAGGGACCTCTTTGCAGAATAAGGTTTTTGTTTTTAATTCTTAATTGAAGGAAATGCTAAATTTCAGTTAGAGGTGAGTGAAAATGAAGATGTAATTTTTTCCCCTTTCCAGCTTATTTAAGATCCCCTGAAATCTATCCTTGCACTCCCTTGGGGAGGAGGGGGAGTATTCATAGACCCTGGTGAAGAACCCCTGATATACTCAATACTTTGTATGGTATGAACTTAGCAAATACCAAAACACCAAATAATACAAGCATTTCCACCCACAAAGTTTCCTTATCAGGAATAGGAAAGTAATATCTTCATAGCCTACCTGAAGATTTATTTTTCTGAGGCCCAAATAAATAATAAAAACCA